ATTTATACGTCATTTATTTACTCTCTTTTATTTCCACTCTGTGTATCCTTATTTTTCGACTTATACAGCAGCCCACCTATGGTGGGAATTCGGCTCTATCTAAACGTTCTCGAGTCACTGCCTGGTTGAAAATTGTATGCTACCACCGAATACGAATACTGAAACAGTTCTTCTGAAACCACGTGCACCATTCAAACTGGCTGCCTTCAACGTTCGTACACTTATGCAGGTCAGACAACAGATAGGGCTGGTTGTGTCTTTGGAAAGTCTTAATATCGACGTTTGTTGTCCTTCCGAGACCCGTATTCAAGACTCTGGTGAAGTACTACAAATTCGCTTAGCATCTGTCGCTTCAAAAAGCTTGTTTTACGTGCGTTTATCCGGGGACCCTGTTTCATCTTCGTCTGGTCTTGCTGAAGTTGGTGTCGCACTAAGCACTAGAGCTGAGGCAGCACTAATCGATTGGATCCCCATTAACAGTCCGTTATGTGCTGTTAGATTAGAAAGTTCCATCAAAGTGAGAAGAAATCGGTGTGAGAAACGATGTCTTTTCGTCATCTCCGTCTATGCCCCGACAGATTGCAGCCCGGATGCAATCAAGGATGAACTCTACCGCCAGTTAACTGTTATTCTCCAGAAAGTGCGTTCGACAGATATTGTAGTACTAGCCGGAGACTTGAATGCTCAGGTCGAGCGTATAGACACAGAAGAGAGTCGTTTAGGTGGCCGATGGGAACTTGTTGGTCGCAGGACAAGTAACGGAGACCGTCTACTGCAACTGTGCACAGACCACAACCTGTTTCTGGCTGGCACTAACTTCCGGCACAGTCATCGCCGATGTGCCACCTGGCGCTCTCCCTCTGCATTTCAAGCCTGGACTCAGATTGATCACATCGCGATCAGCTACCGTTGGCGTGGAGTACCTATCTGGACTCTGATCATGCCTTGGTCTGCGCCAATCTTACCTTACTTCTCAGTGGCCAACGAAGTGACCGCCACCAAAGGATTGATGTTAGCCCGCTGGTTGCAACTTCTGTTGCAAGGAAGTATCGAACCGAGCTAGCTTCTAGGCTAGCTACCATTCCACCGAAAAGTATAGATTAGCATTGGTCGCAATTGCATGACGCCATGAAAATCGCGAGTAAACTCAGTTGTGGGTTCGCGAAACGTCCCGCTTACAAGCACTGGGTTTCTGCAGGTTCCTTACAACTCATCGAAGCCCGTCGGTCTACTCCGGGTGACCGTGAGTTTGATAACAAACGAAGGATGTTACGTAAGGAAATCGGACAAAGCTTGCGTAAGTACCGAAAAGCCTGGTGGTCGGAGCGTGCTAATGAGCTAGAAGCAGCAGCTGCATCTGGTAATTACCGGAAGCTCTTCCAACTCATCCGAGCCACTGGCAGCAAGAAGTCTGGTGTGAGCGGAACAATCTGTGAGGATGATGGGATGCCAATCACTAACATCCATTGACGTCTTGGACGATGGGCAGAATTATTCGAAGGGCAGTTCAACTGGCCTGTTACTCCGGCAACATCGGTCAAACTGTTCTGCCCTTCATGGCCGGTGACGACTGATCGACCAAATGAAGCGGAAGTCCTCAAGGAACTCCAAGTCTTGAAGCGTTACAAATCATCGGGCCCATATGACTTACTCCTGGCTCTTTTTAAAGATGGTGGTGACTTTCTGACTAAAGAACTGCCGATGTTGTTTACAAAGGTCTGGGAACTAGAGAGTGTACCAACGTCATAGAATGAGTCGATAGTTGTCCCTATCTTTAAAAATGGTTCACGTCGTTCCTGTAACCACCATCAGGGGATAAGTCTACTTCCGATTGCGTCCAAGCTATTGGCTTCTTTCATACTTCGTAGGTTGTTCAAAACTCGAGAAAGATTGACTCGCGAGGAGCAGGCTGGGTTTCGTTCTGGTCGAGGATGTATTGATCATATCTTCACCCACCGCCAAATGTTAGAACATCGCCATTCTTATCAAAGGCCAACGATCGTAGTGTTTCTTGACATCAGGGCTGCCTTCGATTCGTTGGACAGGACTGTTCTCTGGGATTGTCTATTGAAGAAGGGTGTGCCTGAGAAGTTTATTAACATCCTAAAGGCTTTATATGCAAACACCTCGGTTAGAGTGAGGGCGTACAACCACCTCTCTCCATTGTTCCACTCGAGCAGTGGGGTTAGGCAGGGTTGCCCAATCTCACCATTCCTCTTCAACTTTGCCATCGATGACATTCTGGAAACAGCTCTGATGGATGTAAGTAATGGTAGTGTGGATCTGTTGCCTGGAGAAAGACTACTCGACCTTGAGTATGCGGACGATATTGTCTTACTGTGAGATAATGCCCAAGGCATGCAATCCGCACTTAATCAGTTGGCAATCAGTGTCCGTAGGTACGGTATGTGCTTTGCACCTTCGAAGTGCAAAGTACTTCTACAAGACTGGCAGGATTACAATCCTGTACTCACTCTGGATGGTGAACAGATAAACGTAGTCGAGAAGTTCGTGTATCTGGATAGCTGCATAAGAGCTGGTGGGGGTGTGAGTGATGAGATCAATGCATGAATAGTGAAAGCCAGAGCGGCTTATGCCAATCTGGGCCACCTTTGGCACCTTCGTGATGTTAGTCTGGCTGTAAAAGGTCGAATCTACAACGCGTCGGTGAGAGCATTTTGCTCTATGCTTGTGAAACCTGGCCTCTCCGAGTTGAGGACGTTAGACGACTCTCTGTGTTCGATCATCGCTTTCTCCGAAGGACTGCTGACATCCAGTGGCAACACCATGTTAGTAATGCAGAGGTTCGGCATCGTGTGTTCAGGCACAGAGACGACAACCCAATTGGTGTCACCATCTTGAAACACCGACTTCGGTGATTGGAAATGTTGTACGAATGTCGTCCCAGAGAAATCCACGTCGTGAATTATTTGCCGACGCTGGGACTGGTTGGGAAAAGCGGAGAGGTGGTCAGTGTATGACATGGTGTCGTGGTATGAAAGAAAGCTGAAAAGGGTTGGCTTGCGTTGGTCCTTCACGACTCGCCGGCTGGGGTCCTACAGATGGCGCAACACAGCACCTAGAGACGTTATCAGATATGGCTCGGAATAGAAGCCAGTGGCGATCGTGCTGTAACCTTCTTTTACTTTCTTCATAAAAAGTGGTTGCATCTTCCTTAACTGAAAGATTTCTTCTGATTGTACCTTTCCGTTTCTCCCATTATTATTATTATTACACTACCGTACAGTAATCTGTTCGTTATTGTTCTTTTTTTCCTATAAGCTCCTTACCTTCTTTTTCTCTTCCCATTCTCATTGTTTTGTGTGGCGCATATATATTTGGTGCCCTCTTGTACCAATATTTATGTGTAATACATAATAAAATATTGGCCTCAGAGATTATCGGGCGCCTAACAGAGACTCGTGAACTGCAAATACAAGAACCCGGTTGGCCTCAGACCTGGTCGAGGCTGCCTCGACCACATATTCACCATTCGTCAGGTTCTAGAACACAAGCATCCTTATCAGCGTCCGACAATAGTAGTCTTTCTTGGCCTAAAGGCAGCATTTGACTCCGTAGACCGCGAGATTCTGTGGCAGTGTCTGTCATTGAGAGGCGTACCTCAGAAGTACATAAACCTTGTGAAGGCTCTTTACTCGAACACTACTAGTCGAGTCAGAGATTATGACGAACTGTCATCTACTTTTGCAACCTCAAGTGGTGTCCGTCAAGGCTGTCCACTCTCCCCATTTTTGTTTAACTTCATCATAGATCTACTGATGAAAACAACCTTCTCGTCGACTGAGTTCTCGGGTATTGATCTCCATCCAGGAGGTCCACTTATCGACTAAGAATACGCAGATGACATATTCCTGTTTGGTGAAGACGCTGATAAAATGCAGAGTCTTCTGGTAGCACTGAGCAACAATGCCAGAATGTTTGGAATGCGCTTCTCTCCCTCGAAATGCAAGTTGTTGCTTCAGGACTGGTCTGCGTCAACACCTGAAATAAGGATAGGGAGTGAAGTAGTCGAACGCGTTGACAACTTCACTTATCTTGGAAGTCTGATCAGCCCTAATGGGTTGGCGTCTGACGGATTCGAAAAGCTCGCTTGGCTTTTGCCAACTTACGTTACCTATGGCGAAGGCGAGATATCCGTCTGAGCCATGTTGGTAGATGCAGACTACTTGGTTGGGGTCCGCGCGACTGTCGTAACCAGTGGCTCGAGACTCTGTGTGACATAGTTCAGAACCGACCACAATGGTGTAGGTGTATACACTCTTTGGCTTCCCTTAAACTGAGATTGGAATCGCTTCATATCTTTCTACAAACTAATTCTTTCTTTTATATATTACTACCATTGAAGTGACTACTATGAATTCGGTGTTCATCTTGTTGTGCTAATGAGGTATTGCAACTTGGACCGATGCACATATGTGCCTGGTCCTACGTTGTAGCTGACTGACTGACTTCGATCGTTGACGGAATTAGAGTGAGTCAATACATTTCCCGCTGAACCCTAAGAAGAATCCTTAAGATCTAAAAGCTGCGCGACCGTTAAACACTCCAAAAACCAAGATTATATATCAACAGATAATTTAGTAAACCAACATTTTCCGGTTAGCCTTTTGTTGATGGAGGCCAACTATCACTGAGTAGACGACAAAATTTCAAGTTACTTGCAATATCTAAATGTACCAACCTTTTGTCTCCTGAAATCACGGGATTTGTGGTGCTTATTATTGGTTTTTAACCGTGATTTCTCCAGTATTTATGATAATTCTCCAAATTCTGTGCTTCATTATACACCTAACCGTAAATGCTTACCTACTCATCTGTGTGCAGGATTTTACGCTATGACTCGCCTATCATTAGCAGTGGTTAAAAATGTCCGACAATAAAACTGAATAAGCCACAAAAAGTTATTCCACGTATAAGTTTCGAAATACTTGGACATTAAACAAACACACTTCCCTTTTAAAAAAAATCGGAATACTTACGAGTGCCCATCTTCGTCCAACTGCTTTGCTACTATCCTTATCTACAGAAGTGAGATAACGAATTATAACTCACCATGAGACAGTAGGCGTAAGGGGATCTCAAAGTAGACCGAGTAAACTTTTGAATCATTTTCGTCACAGCAAGTCGATCAGATTGACGAATTAAATACAACAGACCAAGAGCATGATATTGTACCATTATACGAGAGCCCGATGCAGCTTCTTGTACTTCATTCGTCCATCTTTTGATTATATCCGGACAAACATCCATTAACTTATATGCTGACGTCAACACAGCTGATGCTATTGCAGGAGACTTATCTACTACAGCCTGTTTTAGGTAGCGTTCAATACTTTGGACCATCGCTGCCTGAAAAAGAAAATCAAATTGAACCTGAACTTACATCCGTAATAGTGCAAAGCGCCCGAATTGCAGGACCTCGAAAAGCAATTTCTGGGCCGGTCATATCTTTAGTTAAGCTAGGGAGGATTAGTTATTATTCGAGAAGGTACCTGCTAGTAACAATAATCACGTCATCAGCAACAGCAGACAATTCTTTAATCACTAGGTAAAGCATGCGACGAAGATTTTGCTGAAGACAAAAGTTAGGATCAAACAACATACGTCATTGGATTGAAACAACTTGGTCATTGCGAAAAAAGCATCCGTGGCCTCTACCTTCCCCAACTTTTCACTCTATATATCCAGTTTAAGAATAATGAATTAATTTAAACCTGCTCCAAAATCACTAGAATTTTAGTCAATATGTGCACACATTTCCTTGGGTTAAGTGTTGTTTGATTAAACAAGCGGGCCTAAAACATTTGTATAGAGAGAGAGCATAAGTTGCAAATACTTCTTGCAAAACCACAGATTTATCCAGCTTAGCATACACTGCTCCGTAGCCTGGAAATAGACAAAAGCATTACATGTGAGGCACATAAACACCAAGTCGCAAAAGACCAATGATGAGGCAACGAGACCTTCCTTACCTTCTTCCTCTTCTTTTTTATCTTTCCTCTTAGAGCTGACATCAAAAAACGAGGCCATGACGCGTCAGGCAGTTGAAGACCGCGCGCTGCTACGATAGTATATCTACAATCCTCAATCGAGGTCACGTATAGTTATCGATGTCCTTTAAGATCAGTTTTTGTGGTACAGAAGGTTGTTTGGAATTGAAGAAAAATATGAATTATGGTACAATCCGTTGGGAACTTCGGAAAAGCAAAAATATGTTAGTAAATTCAGTTTCTGTTCGGAAAGGACATGATCCAACTTTCTTTTGAAAGCGTTGACAGATGGGGATTCAGTCACTTGTTGAGGTAATAAATTACACTCGTTGATGGTCCGAAGGAGAAGTCGGTATTCATCCGACACGTTGTTTGTCCTGAGCTTGTGAACATTTTAGAATGTACTCGTAAACTATGTTTTGGAAGAAAAGAACAAGAAAAGCTTATCAGATGCAAAGTTATCGCTAAGTAATTTTAAAAATATGATAAATTCACCTCTGGTTTCTCGTTACGACAAGAGGAATAGGTTTTTTAGTTTAGTTAGTCTGTCATCGTATGTGAAATTTGCGACTCTGTGAATCAGCTTAATTGCAGTCCCTTGAACCTTTTCCAATATTTCACGTTCTCTTTTTAGGCAAAGGCTAGCCCCTTGTGTGCAATACTCAAGTTAGTGCTAAAGAACGCTGTACACAAAGTGTGAACGGTTAAAGCGTTGACATGGGTAAATTTCCTATGTAGTGACCAAAGGGTTCTAAATAATTAAAATCTATCACACGGCAGTTTACAGTAGTTTTTAAGTCTCTTCAGTCTTCAGTAATAAAGATAGGAGGTCTGTCGACCTATATTAATCCTTGCAGTTTGTAATACTGTGGAGGTCCAATCTCGTTTTGAATATATTGACAGACGGTGCTGATATTACGTGTTCCGGTAGAGAATTCCAGTAATTCACTACTCGGTGCGAGAAACGGAACTCCAGACGTAAACGGTTTGATCTCGGTTTTTGAACTTTCTTCGAATGTTCTCTCAAATGATCGGTTCTAGACGGAAGCAACAGATAAGACATGTTAATACCAAGGTCATCGTTCAGTATACGATAGGCCAATATTAGATCACCCCTTATTCTACGGTAAGATAACGGAAATAAGTTAAGGTGTCTCAGTCTGTCTTCATAAGATAGGCCAGCTAGACCTTGTACCATCTTAGTAGCTCGTCGTTGGACTCTTTCTAGCATCTCTGCTTCGTATTTGAAACAAGGACTCGCTGCTTGAATCCCGTATTCTAAATGTGGTCGCACATAAATCGGGTACAGTAATCCAAACATTTCATCATCTAAATACTGAAAAGACCTACGAATTGACCATAATACCCTATAGCCTTTTGCAGAAGCAGCCTTACAGTGACTAGTCGTTTTGAGATCATTGCTTAATATAACTCCTAAGTCTTTATAGTTTCTTGCTTTGGGTAGCACGAATCTACGTAGTGTATAGTCATACGATTCATCAGAGTTATTTAACTGCATCACTACACTCTTATTAGGATTTACTTCTAGTGACCACCTGTCTAACCATGCCACCAATGAGCTAAGATCGTCCTGTAATACTATCCTATCTGACATACTATATATGGGTCTCCAACTTTTTATGTCATCAGCGAAGAGTAGAACGGATGATTTTGCTACAGTTGGCAATTCATTTACATAAAGTAAAAAGAGAAGAGGACCTAGGATTGTGCCTTGGGGAACCCCACTTTTTACAGGTACCCACGAGGAGAGAGCCCCATTAACCCTTACCCTTTGTCTCCTGTCATGGAGAAAGTTACTTATCCAATCGACGACTGTGTTATGGATTCCAAAACGTTTCAGTTTGAATTTAAGACCAGAATGTGAGACCTTATCAAAGGCTTTACTGAGATCTATGAAAACTACATCCACAGGAGCATTCCGATCCTTTGCCGCCGCCCACTCTTCTCGTGCAATGAGAAGATTTGTCAAGCAAGATAGGCCTTTCCGAAAACCATGTTGCGCCCTGGAGAAAAGATTTTGCCCTTCAACATAGTTTATAACAGCTATCCGAATGATTTTCTCCATCAGTTTCACAACTGCACTAGTTAAGCTAACGAGTCTATAGTTACTAACTAAATCCCTACTCCCAGCCTTATACACCGGACTTATTATGGCGTCTTTCCAGTCTCTAGGAAGTCTGGACTGTTTTAGAGACATGTCGAATAGTATCGCTAATGGTTCAGCAATTTCATCCGATATGGCTTTCATAATCCTAGGATGAATATCATCGGGACCACTGGACTTATCAGGTTTGAGATGCTGAAGTAGCCTTAAGACAGTATCTTTCTCAATTACTACAGGATCTATCAGCGAGCCGTCACGGTCACGATGAATCATTGGTCGTTCCTTATTACCGATAGAAAACACTTTACTAAAATATTCCGATAAAGCTTCATCTTTTTCGGCATCATTCTCTGCTAATATTAACGGATTGTCTCGTATCAAAAGTGATGGAATTCCATCACTGCTCTTAGTTCGCCGTTTTATATACGAGAATAACCGTTTCGGACTATATCTAGAATCCCTAACCAATTGTTTTTCGTATGAATGTCTAGTCTTGTTTATTAACGCTTCACAGGCATTCCTAGTCTTACAATAACTGGATCTGTATTGTTCTAAGCCAGTAGAGATGAACATATTCCAGTGATTCTTTCTTTTTCTAAGGAGTTTCCTGACCGTTTTAGTTATCCATGGTGGACTATTATTCGGTCTTCGCGGTACCAGGTATGGCATGAACGGGGACGTAACTAGTCTAAATTTACCTTTAAATACAGACCATGCTTCTTCAACTGATATGCTAGTATCTACTAACCAATCTGTCATAGCGGCGCATTCCTGAATGGCTGATATGCTAGCTTTCCATACATTTGGGTGTGGTGTAACCTGATCGTATAGCATGTCCCTAGTTCTAAACGCGAATGACAAAACAGCGTGATCGCTGTTTACTAACGGTGGAAGAATATTTAAGTGGACAATATCCTCAGTCTCATGAGTGATTACCAAATCCAGCAGAGAAGAACCTTGGTTAAGATCAACACGTGTGGGTTTGGATACATGCTGCACTAATGCATGCTCCATTATTGTTCTCAGGAACCTACTATCAAAGGAGTTTATAGATCCTTCTGTGGTCACCTCAGTCCAACTAATATCAGGTGCGTTGAAATCTCCTATTATCAAGCACCTGGTATTATCACTCCAAAGATGAATGTGCTCTAAAACAGAGTCATCAGCTAAGCAGATTGGGATGCGATAGATGACACCGAGCATAAATGTACTACATCCGATAGCCAACTTACAGCTAATGACTTCACAAGTACCGCTATCATGGGACTCGCTAGCAGAGGAGCGGATATTTATGCTATTGGCTATATATAACAGTACGTCGCCTCTTTTTCTACATTTATGTCTATCGCTCCTGAGATAATGGTATTCAAATAATTCTGATGTAGTGTCTAAGTCATGGACTAACCAAGTTTCTGTCACTGCTACGATGGGTGGCTTTAATCTGTCCACTAATGCTTCGAGTTCATAGAACTTATTTCTTAGACTACGAGCATTAGCATATAAAACTCCTAAGAAGAACGGTCTATCCACACAGGCCTTTGTAACATTCTCCTCCAAGACCTGAATATCCGAAAACACACTAGCCGGAGATTTTCCTCGCCGTTTTGCCGACGGGTTTCAAGTTCAGCTAGTGCTTTCTTCCTTTTTATTCTATCTTCGAGAGACATGTCAGGTCTAACTCGGATGTCAGAATTGTCGTGACAACGAGCGCTACTTAACAAGAGATCCCGTTGCTTCTCCGATCCTAGGATTACCTTAAGGAGTCTGCATGGACGGGGTTCAACATTGTCCTCGGTTCTCTTGCTTATTCTTACCAATTTTTTGACCTGAACTCCTTTAGAGTTATCTGGTAAAATACTACGAATATATTCTCCTAGCTTTTCTAAAGCATGCGCGTGTCTAATTTTCGGATCAGGGTCGTTTGATTCACGCAATTTGCTCACAATAATATTCAATGTTATTAGATTTTTCTTCTCAGTCACGCCAGGATGGGTTTCACTCTAACCATGAGATCTTGGTAGTGCAATTTGTGGCTCACAATTTGAGTCCACCAGTGAGTTACTAACTACATGTGTACTGCTTACAGCTTCTTTCTTTTCGTTTCGTTTCCTACGTACCGTAGTCTTTTTTTCATCCCTCATAACACTGGGACTATTTGGAACGGTGACTGTTTTATCCAGATCTTCGGTTCCCATTAAAGGTGCATTATTAACAATGTCAGTACCAGGTGGTACTACTCCCCCTGTTAATGTCAACGAAGATTCCACTTTTACGTCGGTCAGAGTCGGTTGTTTGAGGCGTCGCGTAACAGCAGGTACTACACTGACACATTCGTCACTGTCAGTGCCCGTGTTGTCAGCGCATATGCCATCCTTCTTTTTACAGGCCAAAGCCAATAGGCTCATAGCCTCCTGTATTAGTAATGCCTTGTTGGCACAGCAAAACATGCAAAGCCAATGTGAGTTAGGCTTCGAGCATCTTTTGTATGCGGTGGGACTTAAGCGGGTGCACATTTTGTGGAACCACTTATGGCATTCGTCACACTGCATTCCCTCCTCCACAGGGAACAAACAGTTTGGTTGTCCACATTTGTGGGTACTACCAACCATTTTAGTCTGATTTAGGTGTAATACACAATATGATCACAGTAAGAACACAAATTTCAATCAACGAATAAAAGGTTACCACAAGAAAAACTTTAGCAAGATTTCAAACCTTAACGAAAGTACTTTGACACAGACCAAGAATGCTTCGAACGTAATAAATACACAAAAGCCAGAAAAACTCAACAGAATATCACTTTAACTGTATTAGATTCAATTAAAGTGTAAATCGTAGTTTTGATACGTAATTTACGATCAAAACAATTCACTAATTCAACGAGAAACAATACCACTGTCCTGCTAACAATGAAT